TAAGCTGCAGATGCTGTGGAAGTGGTAACAGACATGTGCTCCTTAGGATGAATAATTTTATAGCCCCTTCCCTGAGACTGATAAGGAAGAAAATAAGGAATCTGGGTCAAGGGGCCCAGATTTTACCCTTCCAAGGGTACAAAAGGACCAGAAGGAAGTCACTTTCACATTTTGCTTAAGGCCAGTCTTGTCTAGTGGTTTGCATTTGTGAAAACATCCACCTGGGATTATGAATACAGCATGAGGCCATGGAAAACAGGCATGTTTACATCGTCTGCCAGGGTAATGTAAGAAGAAACAAAGGAAGTTTTTGAATCTTGAATAGTCAGGTACACTGCCATCAAAATAAACTTTTATTTCTATTCTTTGCTGACAAACTACAAATAAAGGAAGCCACTAAAATAACCTGAAAAGGAAGATTCAGATACAAATCAGACACCAGAGACAGATTTTGCACTTATTTTGTTGGAGCCATTCTTTCTCTAACCATGGGTGTTTGGGAAGTTCTTTTGTTGTGGCTTTTGTTGCTTACAGGAAGGGGGAGAAAGCTTTAGTGCACTGAGGAAGAATGGTTTTGATTGGAGGCAATATTGTTCTCAGTGTGGGCTGACTTTCATATATTATAGTGATTGCTAATACATAACTGAGAAAACCCATTTATTGAAGTGCCATAGAGCGGTGAGATAGTGGGATCTGACACACTGCCACTTCTGATCAACCAGGATTTTTTATGGAAATGTGGGTGGTCCTGTAATTTGTAAAGGGGAAAGTGGAAGCTGTTGTGCTGGCTACGTGGCTACTAACGTCCTGGCCTGAAGGGTCTTTGTCCTTCCTCAGTCATTTCCCCTGTGAAGTCTGAATGGTGGGCTGCATTCAGTACATGCTTTGACGTCCTCATTGCAATACCATAGCCCTAGTATAGTGTCATATTAACATTGTAAACACGCAAGGGGAAAGTGTAAATCTACTGCCTCAAAAATTAAAAATAAAAGCACTAAAAGGATTATTTAGTGCTGGTTTGTGGCCTTGAATATATAAACTCATTTATTGTTCTGGTAGTCCCAGAGCAAGAACCCTTTCAGCTGTAATGGATGATATCAACTAAGGTTACCATGACAACATTAATTCACAATTTCTAAACTTTGGTAGAATTTGACTTCTGGTCTCTTCTGGATTGCATTTAAATTTAGTTAGTTATTTCTCATTTATTAAGACCAGGCACATTTAGATATCGCTAACAGAAATGTACTAGGAGTCTCTTCATGAAAGTTACTGATATGAAATTGGAGGCATGTCTGTGGGCATTGGAAAGGCATAGTGCATGCTGTGGTCTGAGATTCCCCCCAAGCGCGGGAATCCCTCCCGCAGTGACCCAGTCAGCCAGCTGCCATCTGAACCCTGCGGGGGGCCAGGAGGTCACAGTTCTGTGGCGCTGAGGAATTCTGCTGACGATATTCTGCAGGGCTCCTAGACCTTAAGCCCCGTTAGATGTTGACCTTGTCTCATTTGTGGTTGGACTGACACTCATTATCAAGTACACTAGGACAAAAGTATTGAAACCCCCGCCCAGCTTCCTGTTTGTCTTCATCACCTTTGGGGTGCCACCTTCTGTGTGGTAGTTCTTCAAATATTTGACCATAGCTATGATGTTTCCTATTTGAAATCTTATATTTTCAGGCTTACAGGGTCCCAGTTCTTCCAACAGATTTCCCAGCCTGTGAACACGCCTCTGGCCTCCTGCCACTCTGCCTGTGCCATTTAAAAGCGAAGCAACTTGAATGCAACACACTACTCCTGAGTTCCCCGAGCTGTAGAAACCCAGGGCTGCTGTTAACTCCCTCATTCGGGGCACCCTTCTTTTATTAATCTAGTCAAATACTGTGTTGACCTCCATTTTAAATCAGGGGCAGCACGTTGTTATTTTACATCCAAACTCAAAACCTCCAAGTCTTTTTCTTACCAACCGCTACAGAGCCAAGTGCCCCTTATTATGTCCTTATGCTGTTAACTGTGTGAACTTTATCCTTGCTACATTTTGTTTCTTTCTGCCAAATCACTTTTCCTCTCAAAACATTTTTGAATTCTAATTTTTAAAAATTCAGTTCATTACTGGTACTTCTTTCACTTACCAGTTGCACATTTGACAATGGTACTTTGTCACTGATAGAATGTTGGTCACAACACAGGCCAGAGATAGAGCCCTTTGACTTTCTAGAGAATTCTTGACATCAGTGTGTGAATTTTGTTAGTTTTTTCAAACTAGCTTGATAATCTTCTACTTGTGCTTATTTTCTTGTTCCCAGGTTTTCTAAGAGGATACAGTCAGGAAAGATTTGGTCAAATGCTTCAGTAAAACTATCATTGTTGATTCACTTATTGCCCATCGTAGACCCTCTACTATGAAGTGTAGTGAGATTAATTTGGAGCAACTGTTAGATCACATTAATTTTTCTTTTGACAAATTTACTAAAAAGCGTATCTGGAGGACTGTACTTTTAATTTATTTAAACATAATTTTATAAAATAATTCATACATCATTTCAATTCACCTGAACTTGTTTAGTTTAAAGGAGCTGCCTTTTTTGTATATCATTTGGTTCTCTTTCTGGAATCATTGCTCTGAAAACAAATTGGTGGTATGACAGGAAATCACTCTTTAGGTGTCACTCCAACACATCATTATAGTCACACCTCCTGGGAGAGACAGTAATCAGGCTGAGGCATGTCCAAACAGTGTGCAGGTGTCCATGTAAACAGCTCCCTGACAGTATCACTAACGTGGCCATGACAGAGAATGTGCTGATGGCAGCGTGTCACCAATGGATGCATGTTTTCTCTAAATGGGAAATTCTGTATTATTTCAAGAGGTTTTTTCCCCTCACACAAACTCTTTGACTTTTCATGTTGATATCAAATGTCTTGTCAGATTTACATATGGTGCTTTCTGTGTTATCTTTTGTTGTATTCTTGTACAAAATAGTTTTTTTACTTTTTTTTTACTTTGGACTCAGTGGAAAAATATAATTTAAAAGAACAGTAACACTGAGGAACCTAAATCTATAATAAGACAAGGGATAAACTATTCATAAAAACATTAGTATTTGTGCAATACTTTATATTTCGCACAGCACTCTCTCACATTTTCTTTTTTGAAAAAAAATTTTTTAATTGTTAAAATAATGCACTCATTGAATTTGGAAGAGATAAGAAATGGATAAAAATAATTAAAAGTCAGCTAAAATTCCACCATCCAGAGACTGTGTTGGCCTCTGGCGTGTATTTCTTCCAGACATGCATGTATGTGTGTTGTAGGTGTGCGTGCACACACACATTTGTATGCATTTAAACTAGCCTCATGGTAGACCTGGGAAGTCTGTACTGAAGCATCAGTGTCACACAGTTGTTCAAAGTGCTTTGTAGTCAGGCACTTTGAGCTTCTGGTCCTGGCTGTACTACTTATGTAGTGACTAAATCTCTTCAATGTTTTTACTTCTGTAAAATGGGAATAATAATAGTATGCATCCAGTAGGTTTATTGTAAGCATTAATAAGATAATGCATGCAAAGTATATAGCCATGCTACATGGCTCATAGTAAATGCTCAGTAAATGTGAGCTGTTATTATTATACAGGTGTTCTTGTCTGTTTTTCTCACTTAAATTCTAGGATAGCAGTTCCCCTTGCCATAAAATATGATTTGAAAAATATTTGGGATGACTGCATACATTTCAATATATGAATTTACCTTAATGTAATCATTTCCCTATTTCTAGACCATTTCCAATTTCTTGTTATCATAAAGAGCACCACAGCTAATATCCTTTACATTATTTTTGTGCATAAACAACAGATTCCAAGTGAATTACTAGTGGCATTTTATAGAGAGGCGGAAAAAGACTAACAATTCTTGAATGTCTGCTAATATGCTGGGTATATGGTAGGTCTTTTACAACAGAATTCACATTGAACTCTTCCACACGTCTGCGGAGGTACATCTGTTACCCCCATTTTTCAGATGAAAAAGCTCTGGGAGATAAGTAGCTTGCCAAGGTCACAGAGATAGCGGTGGTAGAAATGGTATTTGACCAGCTGTCTGATTTCAAAGCGTATGCTTTTCCATTCTGGCTTGCAGTCCGTGCCTGTCTTTTTAAGGCTGGAGGAATGAATGGTGACCATTGTATTTTTTACAAAATGTCACTTGGTGCCACATAAAAGATAGGACACTTGGCTGGAACTCTTGGCTTACTTAGTATAGTGCCTCTTGTGTGCGCATGTTCTTATATGTTTTGGAATCGAGCCTCATTAAAATAAGGTGTTAACCAAAGGAAATAGAACATGATGAAAGCAAACCTCAGGGAAGAAAATATTTATTTAGTCAATCGTACAAAAGTCATCTTTGTTTCAGTTGTATGGACTAAGCCAGAATTACTTATCTCCCTGGGAATCAGAGAATTTCACATTAATCAATATAGGAATTAAACGGTAATAACAGCCAGAGTAAATTGATGCTGTCACAATGAATTATAAGTTTCACTACTTGTATGTTAGGGGTTGAGAGGGAAAATCTTTGGCCTTAGCTATAAGATGATACACCAGTAAAGAGCTGTAATAATTGCTACAGGTCTAAGTACAAATATAGGGGAGACATAAAATGTACTGGGAGAAACCCCTACAGAATTAACTTAGTGAACTGACAGGTTGTCTTTAAAAAGTCAGCCATTTGGAACATTTATCTTGGCAGCTCTCAAATCTGACTTACAGCATGTAGTGTGGCAATCAATTTTGTAGGAAAAATGCATAATTAATATGAAGATGATGGTATAGGTATTGCCAGTGAGTACCTAACATAGTTTCTCAGAACAAAGGAACAATTGAAGGTGTCTTTTAAAAGGGTAATCCTGGTTTGTCATTTTGTAGGTTTCAGTTCTTAGTAAAAATGAAAGAAAAAAAACCCTAGTATGCAATATTTCGTATCCAAGAAGTACCCTGTTGCACAGTTTCTAACCAGCTGTTGTCTACTCAGGAAAGCTATCTTTGCTTTTTGCATTCTTGAATTTTTATAGCCCTTGAGCTTACGCACTCTTGTCTTCTAATTGTTCTAGTTTTCTTCAGTCATTTTAGTTCTTGCAAGGGAGGGACAGTGTCACTGATAGCCCAATACCTAGAATTGTTTTGCATCTTGATAGCACATGACTGCCAGCTTTTCCTGTCGAGATTATGTCCCCCAGGGTGGTGTTACAGGTGGGAAGGCCCACCAAGTTAAATTTGGGCTGTCTACACAACTTGTGAGTAGTTAGAACTGTGAGCAGAGACTTGGACGTGAATCTGCAGGTTGGATTCAAGTTGTGGCTCCATTGCTCAGTCTAACGCTGGGTGGAGTGTTTTGCTGTCTCTGAGCCTCTGCTCCCTCAGCTCTCACTGCAGAGTCAGGGGTCATATGGAGGATTATTTATTGAGCAAACCACTTGGCTAACTCAAAGTGCTTTTGTGATTAGTTTCCCGGTTCTTAATTAACGGTTACTGGTCATCTGTCTTGAGGAGAAGCTGATGTACCATTTAAAATATTTTCAAATGAATAATGGGAATATTTGTAAAATATATATGTAAAAATGCCCACTCCTAGGGCTAACTTCACCAGACCCTCCTAACTCTTTGCTTATACTTTTTCCAGTAACAATGGGACAGGCATTGTCTCAGCCCTGGAAGCCCCTGGCTAGCCTGAAGTCTCTCGAAGCTCACTCCCATGGTTATTCCTCTGAAGAGGAAAGGAGGCCCTTGGCATGAGCAGGTGGTTCCGTTGAACACAGTCAAGACCTGTATAAAAACAGGCATTATGTTATTCCAAGACAGAAGCAAAACTTGTATATTTGATGCATTATTGTAGCTTTCAATAAAAAAGACAAAGAAAAAAAAACACTAGCAGGCAAAAAAAATATTCTAACATGATTGCATTATTAAAATGTAAAGGAAACTCTTCGATTATTAAAGTAAGCATGTTGCTGGAAGGGAGACGACCAGAAGTTAAGAATTTTGACACTGGGTGGCGTCCATGAAAGCTTTTCAGAAGGCTCTCTTGGTTTTTTGCCCCAGATGTGGCCGTGTTGGTAAGGGCTGGGAAACTACTTCTGAGCCTGGCTGTAAGACGGTAACTCCCCACCCTGGGACTGCACTTCCTCCCTTTCCCTGGGCTGCTGTGGGCTAACCTCCCTGCTTTTTACTGCCTCCCAGCAGTTACTTTCTCTCAGTCTGAAGGGAAAGACAGAATTTGTTCATTGCTTGGGCTATACTGTGGGATCCTTTTGAAGGTGTTTCAGGCAGTTGATGATTAAATGTCTTCATGGAGGTCCCCAGAGATGGGAGTATGTGAGGTGGGTGCTGAGCATTTTAGACAAGCCTTCTTGACCACTTAGCTGTAGGTAACCAATGGAAGGTCAAGGGGTCCAGGATTCCTTGAGGATGCTAGCTGGGAATGGCTGAACCATTTTCTAAAATTTATTTCTCCTATCCTGGAAACTGTTCTGAATTTCCCTCACTTGCTCTGGAACCACATTTCATTTAGCTCATTTCTTCATTAGCTATTTCTTGAGGGTCTGCTCTGCACGAGGCACTGTGAGAGGAGCAGAGTAATCAGATGTTGAAAAGGAGAGAACGTTACATGCCTTTGGTAGAAAGCAAGATATGCTTCCAGAGTAGGGAAAAGGGAGATGTTAAGAACGTGGTGGTGGGGTTTTTTTCTGTACTTTTTGCAATAAGTTGTACTACATAAAAATCTATACCAATATTCATTTATGTAGCAAATCCCTTCATAATGAAAATTCCTGTTATGTGTGATTTGGGCAAGCATCATTAGAACACAATTCCAATACAGAAGACTTTGGACAGTCCCTTGGAGTGAGCTAAAGTGGGATTTGACCTATATATCAAGCTTTTCATGGTTTTGATATTTTTCATTTCCACATGTCAACAAATACCTGACTTGATATTAAAGCCAGTTAAATCAATATTTCTTGCTGTAGTCAAGGTACAGCAACATATATCCGAGGGCAACATATCCCCAACAGCCATATTTTGTTGACCGCGTATATTTTATCGCAAACCTCACTGATTGAACTACCTTTGGAAGCGTAGGATGAAAATATCAACATAGCCACCATAAAAAAAAAAAAAGGCCAGAGACTCTGTAATCTTGTCCCTCTGCCCCTCATTTAAGTATTCCCATAATTTATTTTGCTCACTTTAATCATAAGGAATGACAGTATGGAAAAGATCTTGATTGTGGTGGCCGTGCTCCAGTGGGTCCGCTTTATCCCTCCTCCCAACTCCCGCCCCAGCCAGAGGATGTCTGAGCACAGAGCAGCAGGCAGCAAATCCACAGGTCTCAGGCTGGAGGAGTCTAATAATCGTGATGGAAAGAGAATGGGGTGGAGCCTACTCCTACTTTTTTCCAAATTTTTAACTGTTAGAAGATTTCTGAAAGTTACCTGTTAAAAACTCATTTGTTTCTGTAAGCAAATGGCCTGAAGCATCAGTTTATAAACACCAAGGAATTTATTTACTGCTGTCAGAAAGGCCTGACTTCTCTTCCCTATGTACTATGAATAGAAGAGTGATTGTCATTTTTTGGGTCCCTACTCTGTGCTAGCACTTAGAGAATCTCACCTCGGGTCAGAAAGGTGAAATGATGCGTCCAAGCATGTGTTGTTATTTCCATTTTATGTGCAACTTGGGCTGCCGAGTAACTTCTGTGAGGCCACCAAGCTAGAAAGGGTACAAACTGGGATGTGAACCCACGTTTGTCTGATTCCAAAGCCTTTTCATTTTTTACATCAGGCGATTTTCCATAATATATCATAAGATTAAAAAAAACAATTGTTTCAAATTGTTAAAGTAACACATGCTTATTATTGGAAGTTTGGGAAGCAGAGAAAATTATTAAGAAGAAAAGGATCACCCATAATTCTTCACCCCAAAGGTAATCACTACTAAAATTTTAATTCTTTCTTCCAGGCTTAAGCAAGCTGTGATTTATATATCCAAGAGAGTGTTGTTCCTCAGAATTGTCATCTTTGAAGTTTAGGCATGTACTCCAATAATGTTGCCATTGCTTAAAACATTTTTGGAATTCCTTTCCGAGCTAATTTAGAAACCAAATTCTCTAAAGGCCCCCATGCGCAAAGTGCTTCAGTAGAGACACAGCAGACAGTATGGCCATTACCTGAGTGCCTATCAAAATAACACGTTTTTATATCTTCTACCATTTCGTGCCTTCTCAAGTTATATGCTGCAATTATTTAACATCTGTAAAGAAAACTGTCATTGCCTCTGTAACAACCGTAAACATCTTGTGCTGACTTCTATTATGGCGGGAGATGGAATTTATCAAAATGCAGCTTTCTCCCATGTCAAAGATTGATGGACAGTTTGGGGTATGTTTAAAAGTCTTTATTAAAAATTACATCTATACATGTTTAATATCTCATCTGACAACTTGTGTGTTATTTATGACATTGTCAACACAATATTTGCTTCGTGTAGCTCATTAAAAAAAATCAGAAAATTTTGTTTATCAAGTTTGAAAAAAATTTTTAAATCAATTTCCTGTTAATGGAAGTATTACACTCACTGAATTATTCCCCTCTAAGGAGTTTCTGTAAAAGCAAATATATCTAAGTGTGTTGAACTGATCTTTAAATAAAGTTAGTAGCATCTTGTATCGAAGTAAATGTTTTTCAAAGATGCAGGTACCAGTGTGCTCACACACGCACAAGTAGCATACTTTATTAAGGTCAAGAAAGTCAACTAGTTATGTGCCAGCTGAGTTCTCATTTTTGAGTTGTGGTGTAAAACACTGTTCCTTTAGAAAACAAAGCTAACCCTTCACCCAAGTATCTCACTGATTGCCTGGTTTCTGTCTTGTTTTTCACAGACTTTCTTATCTGTCCCATCATCTTAGCATGGCACTCTCCCCCAGACTGCTGGGCACCTGGGACACCAGAACGCTGAATTGGGGATTGGTACATCGTTTGGGGGCCACTCACAGGGTTCATATTGGCCACATTGGGCCTGCTCAGTTGTCCTCAGAGCTATACTTTTCCCTGGTCTTCTGACTGCCAAGATTTCTTATGATAAGACTTCATCATATTCACAGAGCTAATTATAAAGTGAAAACCGAGTCTTCCATTGATATTGGGCACTGGTACAGTGTTCAGTGTTTGTCAGATAAATGAAGGGTTTTAATATATTCTCTCAAAAATGGACTGTTGGGAGGAAAAGGTAGTCTGGTTGAAAGTGTCAGAATAGGATTGTGGATTAGAACCTCAGGGTTTAAGAGCCTCTAGGTCAGTCTTCTCATTTAAATATGAAATCCAGAGGTTAGCTGACTGGAAAAGGTCATCCAGAGAGCTGGTGCCAGAGCCAGGCACAGCATCCAGTGTCCCAAAGTCCTGTCCCATCCTTTCCAGTGCTTCCTCCTTATTAGTTGTTTCATGGAAGTTGATCTGACTCCACGGGATTAGTGACCAGAGCATTTGGAGCCCCACACAGTGCTTAACAGAGCACCTGATACACGGGCATTCTCAGGGAGCACTTGGAGCCATTGTTGACGTAGGCGGTGACTGGTAGGTGACTTACGATTCTGGCACCTGTCCGTAGCTCAAGTGGTTACTAGCTAAGCGGTGGGTTCCGTGGGGCTGTGTGGTGGTATGTTATAAGCTATCTCTTGGAGAAGGGAATATTATAACAACAATAACAATAGCTAACACTTGTAATAAATCAGGATATCATTGTGGTTTAGAATCCAGGCTCTGGGACCAGATGGTCACAGGTAGAATCCCCCATCCGCCGCTTGCCCTATATAGTTTGATGAGACAGATGATTTGACCCTTTGATGCCTCATTTTCTACATCTGCAAAATACCGATGGTAATAGTGCCTACCTCAAAGTATTGACGAGTTAGCCTGCTTAAAGCTCTAGAATAATGCCAGGCACTTTCTAGCAAGCAATGAATGTTAGCTATTGCTATTATTAAAATACCATTATTTTGTGCTAAATTCATTGCACAACTTATATATTATCCAGTCCTCTCAACAACTCTGCAAGGAAGGCACTAGTATCTCCCATTGTACAACTGAGTAAACCAAGGCACAGAGAGGTTACTCTACCCACACAGTTGTTGTCATGCGTAAGGACAAATTCCTTGTTGCTCTGGTTCCAGAACCTGCAGTTGGGCTTGGCTAGGATAGAAATGGGTGGTGTGGCTTTTAAGTGTGAGATCTGATCTCCCAAATTTCTTTTTTCCTAGAGCATTCCAGAGCCCAGGCTGCTTTCAGGAATATCTCCACGGACCCCCAGGTAAGTAGCAGTGGCCCTTCCCTCTTCATACCCTCTTCTGGTGCATGTGGCCAGCTGTCCTAGCACCTGCGGCTGACTCCCAGAGGCCATGTCGCAGCTTTGTCAGCCTCTCAGGGTCCCAGCACCAGAGTTCTTGTGTATAGGTGTGTAGACTGAAGTCACTTGTAAGGGAGCGTGGGGGAGGGGCAGTGGAGCCAAGGCTGGTCTGCCTCGCTCACATCCCCCTTCTCCACCTACATCAACATTTTTATGGGTTTCCTAGGATAGTTTTATGCATGTCAAATACTTCAAAGTACCAAAAAAAAAAAGTATTTTACAGATTCCCCTGTGATGTAGAAAGGAATTATGGTTAAGAGTAGCTGCTCTGGAGCCAGACTGCCTGGCGCTCCCTCCTTGGTGATTGCCACGTTTGCTGTTGTTGCTCTCATTGAAGAGCTTGCTCCAGTGACTCCAGAAGTCCGACATGCAATCTTCAGTGCTCACTCGGCGTTGGGTGGGGATGGAAGGACATAGGTGCTTGAGCAAGACACTTGGCTGGCTTTGCATGCTGCTTCTGCTGCCTAGGAATTGTGCAGCCTTGCATGTCAGCTGCTTCTCTAAACCTCAGCCTCCTCCTCTCTGAGATGGGGATAATTAATTATATCCATCTTGCAGAGTTGTTAGCGTGTTTCTAGCTCATGTATATAAAGTGAACTGTACAAGACTGACTTTCAATTAAGTGGTCCTATTATTGTTAGCAGTTACTAGTATTTGAAGGTGTTCATCAAAAGTATTCGCTGGACAGGAAGCATGTTATTTTTGGTTCATCATATTTTCCCTGAAATATTTTTATTTCTGCACCCCTGATAGTCTTGCTTGTTTAATTTGCTTAGCAAGCCATGTATCATTGTGAAAAGATCATCTCCGGTTCAAACCTATCAAAGGATTATAAATTCCAAGTCGAAGTAGTCCAAATGAATGAAGTCTTTTTGCACCTGTATGTTTCCATGAATGTTTAATCTAAACTTGATTCTCTTTCCGTAGCCCTCAAATTTTATTAGTAAGATGACTAACTTTTTGAAAAGAGCCATTAATGTTGGTGGGAGGTGGTTGTTTTCCATGAATGGAACAGAATATTTTACTTCCTCATATCTGAAATCTGAGTCCCTGTGAAAACACTTTCTTCTTTGTTGTTCAAGAAGAATTAGTATAGAAACTCCTGGTCAGCCCCCACCCCCAACACACACACACACAGCTTAGTTTTCCTTTCTGTTGGCAACTGAAGAGTTACTATGTACATTCCGGCAGGCTTCTCCCCATCAGACACGCAAGGGCACAATCAATTCCTGTTTTCTTGGAACGTACAAATAATCAGAAACTCTGATTATTCTGCTGGAAGGCAACAAACAGCTTGATGGAGAGATGTACCAACTGAAAACAATTCTGATCATATTTTTGTCAGGAGAATGAGATGCCTCCAGCTGTCTGTCACTAATCATATTAGAGGTGGAAAGCAAGAATGTTTTGGCCTGCAAAAGATTACTCTAATCACATGTAGGAACACGACTTTTACTGGCCGCTTATCCCAGAACAGTGTGACATTGGATGTCTGCTCTGTAACTCATCTTGCCAGTTGGTAGTAGTCTCCACCATGTGTCACATGAGCACACTTAAGGAATTTTCTAATTACAGTTCAAAGGCGCTTCTTTTATACTTTTATGCTCACTCTGCAGACATCACTGATTGAAATGATTTCTCCCTCAGCATAATCCTAATGCCAGCAGTTACGGAAGAGTGATGAGATGGCAGATGACACTCACAATAACTGAAGAGGTGTCCGAATTCAATTAGGAAGAGGCCTCTCCCATGTGGAAGCATAAGTCATATAAATCCATTTTAATCGTGAGCTGTGGTACTTATCTGGTCATGTTTATTTTGGATGCAAGTGCCAAAGCTGGATTTAGACCAGAACTCCAGATCTTTGAGCCCTAATGGCTAATTTGGGTATCCGTTGAATCCCTTAATTCATTTCTTAATTAGTTCTCTCAGAATTAGAGCTGCTTGGTTACAATAATTTTCACAAAATTTTCATAAATGGAAACAAATGTACATAGATTTCCACCCTCCTATGGCTCATACATTTTACTCTGGTCTTAAAGAACTATTCTTGTTGTTATCAAAATAATAACAGCAATGCCGGCAGTGACAATGACAAAACTAGCAGGTTGCTAGACAGTACAGTAGAGTATGAACTGAGGCACCAGGAAGCTTGGTTCTGCTTCCCAATTCAACTACTTACAGCCATGAGACCTTGGTCAAGTTACTTTCTCTCTCTGTGCCTCATTTTCCTTTTGAAAATGGGAAGAATAATCATATCTACCTCAGAGGGTTGTTCTGAGGATTAAAACAGCATTGTATAGATGAGCTGATATGTAGAAAGCACTATAATAAATGTCCATTATTAAGTTTACTATCAGTGAGACAATGGGAGACCACTGAATGGATTTCACTGGTGCCACAATATTGTCACCTAAATATGTCCCATTTATATAGTCCCTTTGCAGATCACTCATGACTATAATGAAACATTGGGGACTCTGAAGTTGGAATTATCTTTATTATTTGTATTCGTACTCCTCAGTTTAGCTACAGAATTAACAGTTGTGGCTTTTCATGCTTCACCAATATGAATGTTAACTTGAAACTTTTTGCTGCAAAATTGCTTTAAATTTTGAATGAACATTTTGTTCTTTCAGTAGGCATAATATGGGCCCTAATCATTAAAAGGAAAAGATGTTACTACAATATGTAAAAAGTAAATATGTGGGGGGAGGAGATTTGGGGCAATTGGCTTCAATAAATTCATTGGAAATTTTCAAAGTATTTTTGAACACAGTTAAATGTATTTAATATCATAGTTCAAATTTAATGAATGTGCCAGGTGTGAAAGTCTGGGGAAAGATAAATCTAGTAACTTAATGAGCTCATGGCTACATAAGAATTAGTTAATATTAAAATTGATTGCCAAGAGTTGCACTAGAATTACCTTCGCTTAGGTGTTTTTTTTAAACTAAGTTAGATGGGACTCAGCAATTCCATTCACCCATACACACATACATGTGCATGTGTGTTGCACGCATTTTAGAGAAATGTATATTTGTGTGCATCCATAAATAGGTGTAAAATGTTCTTAGAAGCATTGTTTGTATTCATCTTAAGTTAGAAACATCCAAAATATCTGTTAGTAGTCGAATGGCTAAATAAATTGTGGTGTAATCATAAGATAGAATACTATACAGTGGCGAAAAAAGAGTAAACTAAAGCTACACATAATAACAGATGTATTTTACAGACATAATGTTGCAAGGAAGAAGCTGCAAAGGAATACATAACAGTCTTAATCTAGTTATATAAAGTGTGAAAACATGCAAAACTAAACTCTGTTGCTAAGGGGTGCATACATAAGTGACTAAAACTATAAAGAAAAGCAAGAAATGTATTACTGGAAGAATTAAGATAGTGGTTACCTCTTAAGAGAGGGTGTGCTGGGAAAGAGGAATGACCTGGAGGGCTTTTGGGGGTGCTGGCAATGTTCTGTTTTTTGACTGGGCTGAGTTACATGGGTAATATATATTACATCAAACATTAATGTTTTATGTGCTTTTCTGGTTGTGAGTTATTGTTTATAATTTTAAAAGTTTTAAAAAATGCACTATCACTGTCTTTTCAGCCTGGGCTGGTTTGTTTTTTCCTGCATAGTTTTAGGCCTAACGAGTCCTGTGATTGTAAGTGGCTCCAGAATTAAACTACTGCCTTGCTGCCTAGCAAAGTGGCCTCCAAAGTGGCATATGCACCCCAAGGAGCTCTTGAGATTGGCTTATGGGGAGAAATAAATTGATTAGAACTTGCCTTTCCATTCATTTTATCATGAAACATGATAACGGATGGTGACTGTATTGACACTGGCATCCCTGGTCCAAGTGTCAGGTGGCTGGGTATCATCACCTGGAGGGAGGGAGGTGAAGCCCCCCTTCACAGTGACTTCCCCACTGATTTATCTGCTCTGGTTATTGTGTGAAATATATCATGCCTGGGTAACTAGATTTACAAATTCTATATTTTAGTTTTAACAAACCCTCACAAACAGATGCTTTAAAAGATTCTGCAGAGAATGCCCATAAACTGAAGATAATTTTAATATTTCAATCTACAAGAAAATGACAAAGTCTAGCATGAACTCTTTGTCAGCCACATTATGAGGTAATGACAGTGACCATTAAATCAGATCTGGCAAGAAGCTGGCCATGAAACTCTAAATTATCTGGAAGGCATATGGATTTATACCGACTATGGTTAATTAATCATGAACCTCATCGTGTGTGTATTTGTCCTGAGATAATCATGATTAGCAAAACATTGCATCAATTCTATTCTCTATTTTTTTCATGTTTTATAAGGTAAATGACATGTTAATATAATAATATATGTATATGGATTATACACAAATAACCAAACATATTTGAGGATACAGGCTCAAAACATGTAAGATGAGAGCATTGTGGAACACCACGGCCATGCAGTTCAGAGGCTACTGCCTGCTAATAGGTAAAATGTGCAGAAGGTGGTAAACTTGCTCTTCGTATCGAAAGGAGGCACCTCTTAGTCCTCATTTCTTTTTATTAGCAAATATCAACATTATGGCAATAATTTATATATTGTACTTTATTAGAACTTCTCCAGGCACTGGGTTGGAGTGGCGAGTAAGAGAGAACAAAAAAGATATATATGTAAATATACACGCATACTCAGAATAGCTCTGTTTTTCTGTTTATATTCTCTGTAAGATACTCTTTTAACTAAGGGTTTTGTATGTTAAAAAAGAAAAGTTTAATACCATCAGGTAGGATTTGCCAAGGCAGGAGTAATAGGAAGTGCTAGATGTCACATGCGTAATGGCTTGCATGGGGAAGGCGCTCAACCAGCAGTCAGTAGACCTGAAAATGTTTGCCAAAGTGGGAAGA